GATAAACATTGATCATTCACTTTTCTACAAAACACAAACAGAACTGAGCAACATATCCAGACTGACTAGCCCTTGCAAGATAGGAAGAGCCCTGGAGAGAGACAGCGAGAGAGAGACAGAGAGAGATGATAAAGACAGAGGGAGAGAGAGATAATTTTTAAGATAGTAAAAAGAGGCTAGAGAGATGGCTCAGTGGTTGAGAGCACTGGCTGCTCTTGCAGAGGACCTGGATTCAGCTCCCAGCACCCACATGGTGGCTGACAACCATCTGTAACTTCAGTTTCAGGGGATCTGACAATCTCTTCTGACCTCCATGGGCATTGCATGCTCATCATGTACTTACATGCAAAACACTTATATGCATAATTTTTTAAATAAACATTTTAAAAATAGAAAAGTAGGCAAACCACTGAAAAGGAATTTTTTTAATTATTTAATCTATTTATTTAAGGAGGTTGTACCCCAATGAGCATGTGGAGGTCAGAGGACAATCTACAGGAGTTGGCTCTCTCCTCCCACCTTTACATGGGTCCTAAGGATCAAACTCAGGTTGTCAAGCTTGGCAGCAAACACCTTACCCACTGTGCCATCTCATTGGGTCAGGAGGACTTTTTACACAAGCATAGATACACTTAACGCTGTAGTAGTCAAAGAAACAGAAATAATACCAAGGAAATGTCAGTTCATGTCCATCCTGATGGGCCATGGGAAAGGGAAAAAAATGACATCAGCAAAGGAAGGGAGGGCAGCCAATGAGAGGTGCTAGGGAGGGGTACAGGGTGGCACACTGACTGCTGTTTACACTTAGTACCCTTAGAACTTAGATAAGGAGCCCCAGGCTGTCAAAGAAGCCCTGGCTTCCTATAAGGAAGGAATATATGCACATGCTTGTAGGAGAGCTATTCTGGGATCTTACCAGGGAGTTCAAGCCTTCCACTCCAGGCCTGGCCTTTCCTTAACATATCCAAACCATAGCCTTCCAAATCCTGCTCAGCCCCAATAGCCTCACTGTGAAAACAATGCTTACTGCAGAGTAAATTCCATTAGTGGTTCCTAAAACCTTGCTAATCTTCTCTTGGGCCAGAGGCTAATGATTTCCTCTGTGTATAGATTTACACAGCAAACACAATGGCTTCCATGTTAATCAGTCCACAGAAGCAAAAATACAAAAAGGTAGGACATGAGCATTGGCGGAACAAGCTTTCTAGGGCTGTCTTTTGTCATTTGTTCTTGTTGATTCATTTAGTCTCCTTGGCAATGATTATGGTTACACATTAGTACAATGAAAAATGAGCAGTTGGAGGCTGGAGAGATGACTCAGGGGTTAAGGACACACTAGCTGCTCTTCCAGAGGACCAGGGTTCAGTTCCCAGCACCCACAGGGTAGCTAACAACTCTCCTTAACTCCAGTTCCAGGGGATCCAACACCCTTCTTCTGGCCTCCACAGGCATTGCATGACACGGTACACTGACATACATGCAGGCAAAACACTCTTACACATAAAATAAAAATAAATAACCAAACTTTTTTTTTTTAACTAAGCAGTTGATCATTGGTGACAAGCCAGTGTTGGGTAATGGACAGTGTCATATAAATATTTATTTTGAATTGGGGTGTCTTTCTGCAGACAGCAGTTAAATGTCAAAATCCAACAAAGATTTGAATATATGGAAAACCTAACGGAATAAGAGGGTTCCAATTATCCCTGAGGTAGTCACCCATTTGGGAAGAGGAAGAGAAGCCAAGTTAAATGCCCTCATTGTTTTGAGCAACCAAGACAAAGGACTGTGATCCTCTCCACAACTATTTCACGGCCATGCAGAAGTCCTTCCTGATAAACCAAGTCTATCTGACTAAGGAGAGGAAAAAAGAACAACCCAGGATCAACATCTCAAGCACATGGATGATACACTAGGCTGATGTTTTAGGTACTGTAATGAAGCCAGATAAACACACAGGAAACATGGGAAGCTCCTAGGTATTCTATAAATAATATGTCATTTTTATAGCTAAGATTACGCAGCATATGGTGTTAGTCTACAGACATGGGAATTTTTGTTGGCATTGAGAGTGGGTCAGAAAGCCCATCGTTCTCTACAGCCTAGGGGTTGAAAAGTTCAGCTGAGGAGTGTGAAGATGCCCAGGTGGAGATGTCTCTCAGATAGTTCAGATAAGTCTGGCTGGAGACAGGGAGTTTATGTGGGTAGTAAATGAAGCCCTGAGGGTAGTTAGTCATAGAATGAGAAACAGTCCATCTTGATTGTCAACTTGACAGGATTTGGAATCGCCTAGAAGACACCCCTCAGCATGTCTGTGAGGTCATCTCCAAAGAGGTTTAACTGAAGAGGGAAGACCCACCCTGGTGGGTGGCACCACCCCATGTAGGGATTCAGATTGAATGAACAGGAGAGAGTGAGCTGAGCACCAGCATCCTCTCTCTCTCTCTCTCTCTCTCTCTCTCTCTCTCTCTCTCTCTCTCTGCTTCCTGACTTTGGACACAGTGTCACCAGCTGCCTCACACTCGAGCTGACGTGCCTTCCCCACCATGAAGAGCTGCACCCTCAAATCATGATCAAAATAAACTCTTCTTAAGTTGCTTTCCTTGGCTATTTCGTCACAGCAATGAAGAAATAACTAACAGGGGCTCTGCCTGAGCCTCAGGGCACGCCACACTTTCAGCCTAGGTGGGGGAGTGAATGGAAAAGACCAAGAGTCAGAACAGTGGAAGGGAAACTAAGAACTGTAGGATCCTGGGAGCCAAAGAGCTTCAAAAAATGGTCAACTATCTTGGATAGTTCCAAGAACAGTTTAATATGAGGGCTAGAGTGCTTGATATACGGTATGAAATGATTGATGACTACAGTGACAAGAGTTGCTCCCTTGGAATGGTTGAAATGGAAACTAAGATCTGAGAGTTTGTAGCGGGAATCTCAGCTAAGAATTTGGAGAGAGAAAATACTAGCGATATGGAGAACGGAGGGAAAAGAATACAGTTTCTGGAGGGGCACGTGGTTTCCCGAGGCCCTTTTTGTGAGGGAAGGTGACAGTAGGTTGACATGTTGATTTGTTTAGTTTGTAAAATAAAAGAGATAAGAATATGCAAAATGTGCTCATGGGAAACGTCTAAAAGGGAGGAAGAAGGTGGAACACAATCAGAAAGAGAGTAAGTAATATTCCCAAGTGAAAACGAGGAGCTAGAAAGCAGATCACACGGGAAACAGGAGGCGACTTGCAGGGCCTTTGTTAGGAAAGTGGTAACAGGGGCTGGAAAGATGGCTCGGTGTTTAAGAGCACATGCTGCTCTTGCAAAGGAACAGAGTTCAATTCTCAGCACCCATACTAGGTGGTTCACAACTTCCTGTAACTCCAGCTCAAAAGGATCTGACACCCTCTTCTGGCCTCCAAGGGCACCTGCACACTTGTGTGTATTCTTACACATACACATAAGATAGAAAAAGAATAGGAAAAGCAGGTGGCTGGATGAAATTCTCATCCTCTCGCTTCCATTTGTCCAGAGAAATGGGAAGCCAGAGTATCAGCTGAGAACATAGAGGTGAAGATTTGGGAAGAAAGTGGATAGAAAGAAATCGTGTAGTAACGTAGAGACCAGGCTATCTACCTAGCAGTTTTGAGGGCCTAGACGGGGTCTTTGACCATTAATCTGCAGTGTTTCCAATCTGCTACTTTGTGTTTGTCTCTAGCTGTCCTAGGAAGCTGGAGTGTAGACAGAATGAGATCGCTTCATTCAGAGTTAAGATTTGCCTGTGAATTTGCATGAGAATAATCAAAATGATGGAACTTAGAGTCTATCAGATAGAGCAAGAAAATAGAAGGTAGAAAAGCGTGATGGATGGGTGGATTCACAAATGGGGAGGTGAGAAGCAAGTCAAAAACAGAAGCACCTGGGGAAGGAGGGTTGTCATGAGATACCTAACAGAGCACTGTGAGAGAAAGGAAGGCTGCCAGGAGATGCTAAATGGAAGCATGTTTGATTAATGCAGTGGTTTCAAGTATTGACAAGTTCCACAGCCTGGCGATAGACAGAGCAGATAATTCACTGGAGTACTGAGTCCCTTCGTGTAAGTGCTGAAGTCGTCTGAGTTGATGGATGGAGTTGAAGTAGAAAGGGAGAGGGAGTGGGGAGTCCTGGAGCAAAACCAACAGAGGAGAGCTCAGGCATCGGGAATGGGGCACAAGCTTCAAATCCAGAGGGTTAACTGGAGAGTGAAGGAGTTGTGGCTGAAGACACTGACCCCACTCTCAAAGCTGGAGGGGTGTGAAGTGCAAAATGACCCCATTGGGGAGACTGCCCATGAAGCTTTGCTCTCACAAGACTGGGAAAACTCAGCTAAGACAAGACGTGAGTGGAATCCACTGAGTAGAGTTCGAAGACCTGTGTGATAAAGCCTCTTTCTTTGTGGAATGGTATTGTGCATGCACATGGGTTTGTACATGACTAATGGTGACTTGGATCATGGCTTCTCTAACACAGAGAAACTTTTTCTCATATTTCTACTCCCCAAACCTAGAATATCAAAAGACCTCTGACATATAATTAAAAGTATTTAAACTGCCAGAAATAGTGGCACAAGCCTTTAATCCCAGCACTTGAGAGGCAGATGAAGGTGACTCTCTGAGTTCTCAACAAGCCTGGTCTACATAGTGAATTCCAGGCCAGCTAGGACTACACGGTGAGTTCCTTTCTCAAGAAAAGTGGGCCAGGCATGGTAATGCATGCCTTTAATCCCAGCATTCAGAAAGCAGAGGTAGGTGGATCTCTATGAGATGGAGGCCAGCCTGGTCTACATAAAGAGTTCCAGGCCAGCTGGGGTTATAGGAAGACCGTGTCTCAAAAAGAAAGAAAAGTGTTAAGCTTATGGAAAGTTTGAGTGCTCAATCTCTAGCTGATTTTACATTCTACTGTGACATTCTGAATACTGGTGGTCATTATCCAACAATTTAGAAGCAGATCTAAAGTGCACCCGAGACTCATTTGTACCTGTATTTTCATCCACACACATCTGGTGACTAGGTCTCCTCTAGGAGCTTGTCTTGGGATCATTTGCTTCTTTTATTTCCCCTAGAAACAAAGCAATAGAATGCAGGCTGGTTAACTGTCATGTTGGTCACTTGGGTTATAATTCATTCATGCAAACTTTATATAGAGGCTCTCTTTCACAGTCCTAAGATGGATGGTGGTGTTCTCTCTAGATAGAAGCTGTCTGCAAGTTTGGAGATGGAGGAAGGATACAGTAATAACCTTCTTCCTCTCTTCTCCTCCTCTCTCTCCTCCTCCACTTGCTCCTCGTCCTTCTCCCCTCTTACATTACCACATTCGTGCGTTCCAGGAATCAAACGCCCATGTCAACCTTGCACAGAAAGTACCTTTACCAACTAAGCCATGTCCTTGGCCCTCTATTTCTTTTTAGACAATATAATGGAGTAAAGCTTCTACATATAACCCCCAGACTCTCTATACACCAACTCTCAGCACAGTGCGGTTGTTAAAGTATTAGTCTCAAGATCAGAAGATCATGAGTAGGTTCACACAAGTGCTCAGAAACAACCTTCTTTGACTTGTAAAATAGGATGGAACCCAATGAGCATCATATAAAAAAGGCTCAGGATAGAGTTAGAGAGTGACGTAGAACTACGCAGACACTCTCCTGCCTCAGCCTCCCACACCACTAAACCAAGAGAATGACATAGAAGAACCTGTCTCTTGAGATGTTTATCTGGTGCCTGCTGGATGCCAGGCTGTCTCAGCCACTGGCAATGAAACAAGGAGCACACCACGTCATTGACTTTAGAGGGCTCACAGTGAGGAGATGCCCACTCAGACACAGTGGAGTAAAGTCTAAGATAAGTGTGAATATGGGCTTCTTCAGTCAGGCCTGACCAAAGGAATCCAGGGTGGCAACTCAGAGGTGGAGATAAGTGAACCTGAATAACCAGCTGGAGCTATCCAGCTAAAGACCAGGGAAAGCTGTTCAGGAACTGGAAGTTGCTACTATCAAGGTCTGCCTGAGCTCTCCCAGGGCAGAGCAATCAATATTCCTCTGTCCTAGTCACTCCAGGACCTGTCAGCTTAAGGCAGTGCTCACATCCAGAGCCCCATGAAATTATTCAAACCAGATGTTTCAAAACCTACCTAGCCTGCCTCCTCTGCCTCTCCGCCGCTCCCTCCCCACACACATATACAAAAACCATAGTAGAAGCTTCTGGTTTTCAATGTTCCTCAGGCCCTGTGATCCTGCTCTGTGTTCCCCCTGCTCATAGGAACTATAATACACTCATTGCCTCATCTGTTGGCCTCCCTATATCAGACTAATAACAAATCCAGGTTCCTTTTTAAACAGGCTCTTTGACCACCCAGGGCACATTTTACCTAAAAAGCTTTAAGGGTCTCAGAAACAACAGGGGCCAGAGAAACCTGTACAACCAATGGAAAAAAGTCACTTTTAGAGAGCAGGTTGCTGAATCTAATCCCAGCCCAGTCAACTTCTGGCTTGTCAGAACAAGTGAATTCTCATCTACAAGACTCTCCTGGTCTGCCAGAATTTATATATCCTGGTCCCCAATTCTTTTGGCTGAGAAAAAGGGAACTTTGTGTCTCCATTTTCTACACCAAGATGGCTCATCACAGAACTATATCATGCTTTAAATATAAAATACTTGATCAAACCACAGGTGGCTTCTACGGCTCAGACACAGCAATTGGGTTACCTAATACTGCTACTGGACCCTGGTGGCCCAAACAAGTTGGCTTGGCCTTCTGTCTTCAATAGGTCAATTAGAGACAAGTAGTAGTAAAAAGCAAGGAAAGGAAAGTTATCCAGTGTGGCCACATCCAAAAGAGGAACAAAGAGGTCCAGAGACATGTACCCCACTCTATCTTGGTGTGCTGGCAGGACGTTTAGGTTTAAATAGAGAGCTAGAGATATGCATAGCCAAGAAGTCCTGGTCAACATGGGGACCAGCCCAACATCACTGTCAGGGCTCCAATCTCTACTGCAAGGTAAAGGGTCATGACAAGTTGTCAGCCCTGTGTGAAATCTCTTCCTGGGAGACAAGCTCCTTCTCTGGCTGTACCAGGCTTCAGCCTCTCCTCCCAGAATGAGATTCCTGGGGAAATCCCATTTCCTTGGGATCTATGATGTCAATAATCTGATAGTCAAAGGGAAGGCACAAGTGTCTCTCTAGATTATCTTTGCTGCTGCCAGGAAGGTTATCTTTTCCCAGCAACTGATTCCCCGAGAACTTCCAATTTTTCATAATTCTATTTTTAGGAATGAAAACATTGTCCACCTCATCTAGTGATCAGTTTTGTTAAGCTCACCGTGTGTTCACTCACCTACAAAGATCATATAGCAGGAGGCTGCAGAGATGACTCAGCGATTAAGAGCACTTATTGTATAATCATGAAGACAGGAGTTCAGATCCCAGCACTGTATAACAAGCTGGGTGCCCTGGGCATGCCTGTAACCCTAGCTCTAAGGAGTGAGGAGACAGGAGAGTCACTGGGACTTGCTGGCTACCAACTTAGGCAAGAAAGCATGAGCCCCAGGTTTGGGGAGAGATGCTGCCTCAGAGAATAGAGTGATAGAAGAGGTTATATAACACCCTCTTCTGGTCTCCACATGTGTGCACAGGTATGTACATCCACAAACATGCATGCACATACACTCACACAGACACATACACACACACATAAATAAATAAATAAATAAATAAATAAATAAATAAATAAATAAACTCATTTTTATAAAACATCACGTATCAACTTAATCAATTGCCCCCCTTCTAATTTTTTATAACCTCTGTGAGGGAGGAAAAATGGTTTATATTTGTATAATCTTTGTGCTCACTTTCACAAAGTCATTCTGCTGGAAAGTCAAGTCTCCATAAACACTGCAATTGTTTTGTTAGATGGATGTGAGGTACCTGCTAAAGTACCATCCAAGCATTTGTGTTTACACCATAGATTAAGTTATTATAGCAGCCACTGTTTAGATGTTCTTGGTTCTTGCTCTTTGTGTTTTTATAGTAGATGGAATCCCATTGAAATGGGCCAAGAGCCCATGGAAAACAGACAACGCAGAGACCCGAAAGTTCAGTGCCTTACCAGAATGGGAGGAAGATCATCCCACACCTACCACCCCCTCCAAGGCACAGGGACTTTTGTGGAAGAAGTTGGTGGAAAGAATGTAAGAGTCGGAGGAGGGGTGGAGTGTTAACTGGAAGTGTCCTCTGAGCACTATGCCAGCAAGCTATAGTCACACCTCCCTCTGACACTCATCAAGGAGTCAAGGGGGAAGTCAGTTACCCCTCCCACCCAATCAGTAGACCTTAGCTGCATGTGGGGTAGGGCTAAGAATATATAAGCTGAGAACGTCATGAGGCACCTCTCTTGCCATTTTGTACAGCTATTGAGAAGTTACAGGATCTATATTTGAGTGTGGACTTTCCAGGGCAGCTGTAAATGGAGGGGAGACACATTCTTCTGTAATAACCCCCCACCCTATGCTCTGTTAGCAAGCCAAATAAACTAGTTCAGATTTTTTTTAAAAAGAGAGAGAATTGGGGCCAGGCATGGTGGCGCACACCTTTAATCACAGCACTCAGGAAGCAGAGGCAGGCAGATCTCTGTGAGTTCAAGGCCAGCCTGGTCTACATAGTGAGTTCCAGGACAGCTGGGGCTACAGGGAGACCCGGTCTCAAAAAGACAAAAAAAAAAAAGGGGGAGAGAATAAAAAATAGACTTCAAATTTGTGACTTATAAGTCACACTTATTATTGCCCACAGGAAATTTTATGTTTAATGTATGTGATGAATTATGTGCAGCAATAAATGTGTGTCATTTAAATTTTAACAAAATGTTCACATCAAGGTATAAAATTATTTTCAAAATATTGTTTACCTTTTTTTTAAGCCTACCTTTTCCCTTTCAATTTTCACAGCTTTAATGTGTATGTTACATTATTTTAAAAGGACAGTGTGTTGGACATGGAACAGCAGTAGAGAAAGGCATGTGTCCACTTGAGTTGACAGCTGTGCCGCTTGCTAACCAGGTGTAATAGTGAGATGGTTGGTCTCTTTTGGTTTTCTCATCTGTAAGATGTGGATATTTTCTCCTCACAGATTTTGTTGAGAGTCAGAAGACCTTGCATGTCTTAAACATGTCTTAAAATTTCTATTCCTGTCCCCCAAAGGGGGAGCCCTATGCTGGGTGTGGAGACACTTGGTTGTGGGCCTGCTCTCACCGTTGGCTAATGAAGCCTATCAAGTTCAAAGACATATATGAGCAAAGGGCCACTTTTACACACTGCTGGGAGTTATCTGTAAAATTTCTGGATTTACAATTTTTTTCATCATTTCCACGTACAGAGATTTTAGGTGCTCCTTTAAAATCCTAGTAACTCTTAAACAGAGATTGAGTTAAAAGTTACATAATCAGGAGCTGGAGAGATGGCTCAGTGGTTAAGAGCACTGGCTGCTCTTGCAGAGGACCCAGGTTCCATTCCCAACACTTACATAGCAGCTGACAACCATCTGTAACCCCAGCTCCAGGGAATCTGATGCCCTCCTCTGACTTCCTCAGGCATTGCACAACATGGGTGCACTTACACACACAGAGGCAATATACTCTTATACATAAAAAAAAAAAATTTAAAGGAAATAAATAAAAGTTACATAATCAGATTCAAGTATGAATCATGATCATCAACCCAATCCAGCCTAGCCTAGCAGAATTCTAAATTGTCAGAAGCAGGCTTTACCAAAAGATTCTCCTGACCCCCTACACCTTTCATATCCTGACCCTCAATTCTTTTGACTGAGGAAAAAAGGGGTCTTTGTGACTTCATTTTCTTTCCCAGGATTGTTCATCATGAGAATGCATAATCTTGTTTTTCAGGGAGGGTCTCAGGCTGGCCTCTACCTCCCCATATAGCTAAAGGTGACTTGAACTTCTGATCCTCTTGCCTCTACCGCCTGAGCACTGGGATTATAGGCTTGCATCACCATGTCCAGTTTATACAGTGCTAGAGACTGTAGAGCTTTGTGCCAACTAGGTAGGCACTACCAACTGAGCTATATCCCCACACCCAAAATCCTTCAAGTATAAAACACTTTATTAAACCTCAAGGTGACTCTTACAGCCCATATGCAACAATCATGACACCTTAATGCTACATCTTCCCAGCAAGGATAAGTTCTGCGCTAGGTGTTGGTATGGAAACCCAGAGGACACATTTGGTCAGGAGCCTGCTCACAGCCTTGGCCAATCTAAGCCAATCAAAAGCTGCTTCATTTGGATTTCATTCACACCAAACTCACATTGAGGGACATTTAACAACCTAACTGGCCTGCTCTTCAAAACTGTCAAGGTTGAGTCTGACTGAGTGAGTAAAGTGCTTGCTATATAAGCCTAAGGATCTGAGTTCAGATCCACAGCATCCACATAAAAGCCAGGTATAGGCAGTCTACACTTGTATCTCCAGCACTTGGGGGGCAGGGGTAAGGGGATGGGAATGGAGACAGACAGATCCCTGAAGCTTGCTGGCCAGCAAGTCTAGGCAAAAGGGTGAGCTCCAGGTTCCTTGAGAGTCCCTGTCTCAAAGAGTAAAGGGGAAAGCAGCAGAGTGATACCTCTGGCCTCTACCTATGCATGTGAGGGTACAACCGAACCCCCATGTACACATACATGCATACAACACACACACGCACACACACACACACACGCACACACACACACACACACGGTCAAGAACAGTGGCTGTCCCAGCACCATTGGAGATCAAAGGAAATTAAAGACGTGACAACCAAAGGCATCTCATAGATGAACTCAAGGTATCTCTAGATTAGATGTAAGATTACCTAACATTCTCAGCGTTACTTTTCTGATGATGATACGATCAGCAGTTTACTCTCAAGTGGCTAGGAGAGGATACAATGCATATTGTGTTGGTGGATTTAGAGCATAATCAAGAGAATGTGGTGTCGTGTTAACATTTGAGAAAATTGGGTGCACCTGGAATTTTTTGTACTGCTTGCAACTTTTCTATAAATCTGAAACGATTTTGAAATCCACTCATCAGCAATCCCCCGCAACACACACACACACACCCTAAATAACCACAAAGTAGCAGATCTGCACATCTGGCTACAGCCTGTTTCCTGCCTCCCTGTTTTGTTCACAATGGATTCAGAATCTTTTTCTCCATTTCTTCCTAATAACCCTAGCCAAGTTCGTTACTTTATTTCCCTCATGCATAATCCTTCCTTTCCTTTTTCTGTCACAGCAGAACTGAAGACTGCTGTGATTTCTAGAGATTTTGTGTAAGACAGAGCATTAACATCTCTCCATTTAGGGTGCAGATTTGGTCTTTGCTGTTCCATGAGGCAACCCTGCCCAACCCTCCCCCACACACAGATCCAACTGTGTCCTTAAGCCCTTAAGGGACAGTTGTTCCCAGATAAGAAACACTTTTTTAAATTTGTTTTCTAATCTTAACTCCTTTTACATTTAAAAAATGTTTCATCAGCATATATTAACTGTACACAATAATGAGTTTCACCATGACCTTTTCATACTTACACATAATGTATTTCAGTCATATTCATCCCATTACCCTCTCTTGCCCCCTCCTGTTCCTGAGGATCCCCTTCCTCTTCCCAACCAGCCCCCACCTCTGCTTTCATGTCTTTTTGTGTGTGTATCCCTTTTTTGGAGGAGGGAGGATCCAATGAGTTTTTTTAGGGTGCTTTACAGGAGCATGGGCACCTTACCAACTGACTGAAGAAAATGTCTCTACCCCTACCACCATTCAACCATTAACTGTGTATAAATCCTTGGGGCAAGGGGGAGGGGGGCAGGAAGAAATCATCTTTAAGTCATGACAACTTATAAAGAAGAAACAGTGAGGGTAGGGAAGAAGCCAACAGCATCATTGATTTCCCTCCAGCAGCAGAGGCATTGAACCCAAGAATATCCAAGCTAGGATTTAAAGCGTCCTGCCTGGCTCAAACAAATCCCAAACACTAGCAGGAATATATTCCTGAAGGACCCTTTGCCCAGGTCATAATGAACATGCTGTCCTTTCTCTCTTCTGTTTGTTTTTTATGTTCATCCAACCTCAGCTGTTATTCCTCAGCTGCTATTATAGCCGGTTTCCCCTGGGATATATCGAAATGCTCATAGGGAAACAGATCCTTATTATTTGCATGTGAAGTTAGAAAGTGAATTAAAACCAGCGAAATTCTCTTACCTGCAGGCAGTAGTTACTGTGTGGAACAGATTCCAGTGGATCGCAGGTCCCTGTGGAGTTGACCCACCTCAATGCATGAAGAATATATAGGGAGAGGCTATATGTCTGCGTTTTTCATTACAGAAGGTGTTTGTGATGGGTCCTTAGGCAAGATGTACTTTAAAACAAAAGCCACACAAAGGCCACACAAAGTTTAAACAAAAGGCTAAAGAAAGACCAAACAAAAGCTAAAGAAAGTTTAAACAAAGAGCAAAACAAACACAAAACAAAGGCCAAACAAAGGCAAGAACAAAGGCCAAGACAAAGAGCAAAAGAAAAATCTGAACAAAAGCTAAACTAAGCCACAGCCATATCATGCACGCTCGGAGGCACACACACCACATCCACACAGCAGCCCCGCCCCCACGCCACACTCCAGCCTCCCACCACCACATAATCAATGTTCTGTGCAATACCATCCATGCCCAAGGCTCATCCACACCACCCTACCCACAGCAGACCACGAACACCACATCCTGCCATACCATAACGCCAGCTCATCCCACCAAACTGCCATGAGCATGCAACGCCAGAAATATAAAGGGGCACATTTGCGTCTTCCCACAATGTCAAAATGTGTTACATAACAATAAATTCACAAGCTGCATCAATTTCGTTAGCTGTGATTTGCTAAGTGGTCCTGATTTCCCTTGATAGGTGACCACTGCAAACATGGTTGTTGTTGTTGTTGTTGTTGTTGTTGTTGTTGTTGTTGTTTTAATGCCAAACTTAGTTGCTAAAATTAACTCTCAGATCACACATTACACATCACACAGCAATTATAGCTCGATCTATATCCAGCTCTGTATTTATGTCTATGTAGACTACAGAATGAATACTGTCAATGCAAAAGCACAACTCTCACCTCAAAGGGGATAAGATAGTTTATTCTGGAGTCAAAGACGAGTGACCATGGCCCAGGAACACAGACTCAGGTTACCTTCCCTATGTTCCAATGTGGTAACGGTGTCATGAAGTTTTTATAATAACAGCACAAAGAAAAGTCATAAATCAAGACACTTCAAATACATTGGTAGAAACATTAAATAGGCAGACACAGCAAGAGAGAAATCTCAGCTATAGGCCTCAGATGCTACCTGATGACACTCAGCATTTTAGTGAAAGCTGATGGTCTACTAAGCAAATACATTCCAAAAGGTTTTTAATCTGTTAGTCACAGGATGTTGTCAGAAACAAAGGTGGGCAAGGAATAGCTATTTAGGGGATTAAAGATGGCCTAAGATAAATGGTAATTAGTCTCTGAACCTGCAACATTCCAAACTCTCCTAGATCACTGAAGTTCTACTCAGTTGATCAGTTGTAGAAGGTTCAGTTTTAAGATGCAGTTTTTCTTTGAACTTCATTCACAGTACAAAATGATTAAAGGGGCGGGTGGAGTTCTAAGAGGCCTCACTAGAGGCAAAGCTGACACAGATGCAGAGAGCCGCTGAAAAGGTGTTCTAGTTTGAGTTCTGTTACTGCGATAATCATGGGGAAAAGAAATATACTCCTGCATTTAATGTCACTTTTGCGTGTGTCTAAATACTGTTTTATGATTGATTTTATACTTTAGGACATAGCACTCACCTTATAATGGTTTTATAAATGCCTACTAAAATTTGTGTTGAAAAAGGACTCAAAACTAAAATGGAGAATGCAATCTTAAGAAATACATACCACAGTTATCTAGTGAGACAGTCATTTGAAACTGCCTCATTTGCCAAGGCACATGCAATAAACTATTAAAAAATATCTTAAACACTGCCCTAAATCTCTGCCTCTACAAACATCCCTGTGAAAGGAAATTAGGTGATCTTGGGGCATATAAATACCTGTGATGGTAATCATGTAAACTGAGTTCTTTGGGAGGAAACTGCTGGAGTCTACCTGTGTACATAAACTTTCCTGATTTCCCCACATGTGTCTCTTGGTGCCTTCTCTGTGCATGACTGGCCCTGTGCCTCAGATTCCCATAACAATAAAACACTCTGGCCAAAAGCAACTTACGGGAGGAAAGGGTTTATGCCACTTATACTTTCAGGTCACAGTCATCCATCACTGAGGGACATCAGGGCAGGAACTGAAGCAGGAGCTTGAAGCAGAAGCTTATTCACAGGCTCATGATTAACTTTCTTATACAGTCCAGAAACACCTGCCTAGGGATGGTGTCACCCAGAGTGGGCTGGGCACTCCTGCACCAATTAATAATCTAGACAATCCCCCACAGACATGCCCATAGGGCAATCTGATCTGGGAAGGCCTTCAATTAAGACTCCCTTTCCAGGTGACTCTAGGTTGTGTCAAGTTGACAGTTAAGGCTCACTAGGATAGATAGGTAAGGAAGCCAGTTGAAAAGCTGCTGTAGGCCTGCAGAGCCAAGGTGCAGAGCAGGGCAGCTGAGGCTTGGGACCATGGAGGCGAGGACCAGTTAGATGGATGAGTGAGCAAACTGATGTTCAGATGATGGGCAGACAGATGGCAATTTGAGTGGGCCTTGTCAGGTACTGTGGAGTGCCACAGTCCGGCTTCAAGGATCCTAAAAACCTGAGTGGGAAGGGTAAGGAGATGAAGGAAAAAAGACACAAATACAGGAACAGCTGGGATCAGGAGGACCTGCAGACTGACGACCAAACAGGAACTTTATTGCAGGATAACAATGCTTTTATGCTTGTCTCAGAACAGGACAATTCAACTATAGAAATATAGCACAAAACCATAAGATCCTTTGAACCATGCAATTTCAATAATCACAGTTTCATTAATACATGAACTTACAGCAGCAGTAGCCAAGCAGAACTTCCAAGACAAAAGCATGTACCTAGGAACAGTTGCATTTATCATATGTAATTGTATAAGCAGTACCCAAGCAGAACTACTAAGTGAAAGACATGCACCTGGAGATTGACCTGTATAGGCCTTGCCAATATCCTGTTATCTGCTCTCTAGGGGCCAAACTGCCTGTGCCTTGACCCTGGGTCAGCCAGGATAGGCTTTGCCAATATCCCGTTGGCTGCTCTCCAGGGGGGCTGGCAGCCTGCACTTGGCAGCCCTAAATATTCAGCTCCTAACCATGGAGCATGCTAAGCTGGAGCACTGAGGACAAAGGCATGTGAGCAAAGATGTGTACAGGAAAGCTAGGTTTTGGGGGGTTGTTGTTGTTGTGTGTAAGAATAATCTGAATGGAGTATGGAAACAGGAATTTGTGAGTGTAACTCTTGCTTGTGATATGGCTTTGAATGTGTGGGGCAAATGTGCTGTGCGGGGCAGCATGGTTACTGGGATGGTGGTGTGCTTGGGCAGGTGTGTGGTTTGTGTGGCCCTAGGGCTGTGTCCTGCTCTGAATCACTCCATGTTATGTGAAATGGTGGCTTTCAGGCTGTACCTTGCCCTGGGTGACTCCACTTTACAAGCAGCATTTGGCTCCATTTTGAATGCAAATGCAGAGGCTTATCTTTATGCACAAAAATACCATCTGGCCAGCACCACCCATGAGGTAGAGTGATAACTCATCCCTGAAAGTGAAAAGGCCCTGCCTATAAACTTATCAGAGGAGACTGGAACCTGGGCTGGAGAGACCGCTCAGCAGTTAAGAGCACTGGCGGCTCTTGCAAAGAACCTGGGTTTAGTTCACATGGTGGCTGACAACCATCTGTAACTCCAGTTCCAGGGGAATCTGACACTCTTTTCTGACCTGCATAGGCATTGCATGACATGAGTGTACTTAAACACATGAAGCCAATACACATAAAAATAATAATAAATAAACAATTTTTTAAAAAGGAGACTGGGACCATATGAGTACATGAATATATTTAAGTCCCATCAGGAAGAGGTCAAGATGGTTCTGTGGTAAAGGAGTCTACTGACAAACCTAATTCCTTAGTTCAATGCCAGAAAACCTTGCATCTTCAAACTGAACTTTCTTCTGCAAGACTAATGAACTGATTAGAGCTCTAGAGATTGTGGAAAGTCTGGAATGTTGCAGGTCCAGAGTCTAATCATCATTTATCTCAGACGATCTTTAGCCCCTAAATAGCCATTTCCTTGCTCACCTCTGTTTCTGATCTAACATCTTGTGACTAACAGATAAGAAATCTTTTTGAAAAGCACTTATTAACAAACCACCAGGTCCCACCAACCAAAAAGCTAAGAATGTCGTCCGATAGCATCTGAGACCTGTGGTAGAATCCCCCTGCTTGCTTTGACCCACCTACTGAATGTATTTGAAAAGTGTCTTGATTTATGACTTTTCTTTGTTCGGTTACTACAAAAGCTTCATAAAACTGCTTCCACACTGGAACATGGAATTTGGGGTAACCTAAGTCTTGTGTTCTCTGGCCATGATCACCCATATTTGGCTTCAGAATAAATTATCTCTTATCCTCTTTGAGGTGAGAGTTGTGCTTTTATGTCAACAAGGATCACATTATAGAAGGAGAGAACTGATTCCTTCACAAGTACTCCTTGGCACATGCACACACACACACACACACACACACACACACACATACACCCCACCACCACCACCACAAAATAAATAAATTAAAATGTAATAAAAATTTGAAGTCCACAACTAAACAGTTATTTCTTGTCTAACAAAGTTGTACATCAAAATATATGTTATTAAACTTGTTTTAGGGGACTGAGGAGATGGCTCAGTGGTTAAGAGCACTGACTGTTTTTGCAGAGAACTCGGGTTCATTTCCTAGCACCTACATGGCCACTATCAATTGTCTGTAACTCCAGTCCCAGGGGATCAGACATCCCCTTCTGATGCCCCCTTCTGACCTCCATGAACATTGCATGACACAAGTGCACCTACCTACATGCAAGCAATACACTCATATATGTAAAATAAAAATAAGTAAAAAAAAAAAATAGTTGTTTTACAGAGCCAGCAAGATGAGTCAATGAGTAAAGGTGCTTACCACCAAGACTGAGGACCTGCACTCAGTCCCTAGAATCCACATGGTAGGAGAGAACGGACTCCTGCAAGTTGTCCTCTGATCTACACACATAAGTCATGACATGCCCATCCCCCCTACACACAGATGTAATTTAAAAGAAATCTTAAGTTGCCTTATGATTTTAAAAGAATCTGCCAACGGACTGGAGAAATAGCTCAGTGGTTAAGAGTATGTATCACTCTTGCAGAGGACCCAAGTTTGGTTCCCAGCACCTACACCAAGCAGCTTACAACCACTTATAACTCTAGCCCCAGGGGACCTGACACCTTCTTCTGGCATTTGTGGGCACTGCATTCATGCACACACACCACACAGAGATACACATATACACATAATTGAAAGTAATAAAAAATGGGAGCAGGAGAGATGGCTCAGTAG